TAGTTGAACGACGAGATCCTTCAGCGAGAGAGTTGGTAAAAAAAATTTTTAAAACTCGAATAAGAAGGTCTGAGGCAACCACTTAAAATCAACAATTTAACATGTGTACACATTTAAATAAATTTTTACTTTCATATTTTCAATCCACATTCTTCCATCCAAATTTACTTTATTCCTTCAAAAAATCATCGTCTATTAAAAGAATTTCTATTTCCATCCGTGTATATTTTATCGATACCTTTCACATTTGAAACAATATTTCGAAAACTCGATGATTTGAAACCATATATTTCTTGTATCCGTTTATTTTTAAACCCACTGTCTAAAAGATATTCTATTCTCGTCTACGTATTTCATTTCACCAGTGTTCCACTCCACTTGTTCCAAAATCATGATCCGAAAGTATCTTTCTCCTCCTCTAAATTCCACTTATTCCTTAGAAAAGAATTCTAATAGAATTCTATCCTATTTTCATTTATCATTCTATTATCATTTATCTTCCAAATTCTATTTATTCTCGAAACCGCTCTAAAAGAATTCTATTTCCATTTTCATTTATCATTACGCGTTCCTCCACCTATTTCAAAACCATGATCCGAAAATACGTTCCACCCGAATTCTATTTATTTCTTTATATCGTCCAAAGGAACCTCTTACTTTCATCCAAATGTATTTCGAGATCGATCGTCTTCTTTCGAACAGAAGTATTCGCAACTGTTTCCTGGGATACAAACGTGCGAGGGTACAATTACCGTCGCGTCACAGGGAGATAACGAGATAACTCGAAAGAAAATAGAAACGCTTCCGTCAGCAACGTTCATGTAAAATGAAGACCGGCGAGGAAAAGGTTCCGGAGGAAATGGAATCGTGCCGTGGATTAATGACGCTACTTTCCCACTGACTCGTCAATCAATATCTTTATCCTCTCTAGACGTCCGATATCAGATTGCATTTGTCATCTCTGAGAATCTCTCGTTGTTTGACTCGTTCGAGGGTTTCGATCCTCACAAAGGTGTCTCGTTATACTCCTCTCCTCGACTCTTTCTTTTCAAAGATTCGCGAGATAAAGCGTTTCTGCGCGAACGAGATCGTTCCACGAACACGTGAATCGAAATTCTTTTAATGACTGTTCAACAAATGTTCTTTCGACGAAATACATTGTCCATTCCTCTCCAAGTGCGAATTTTATTATTGTATTACATAAAAAGTATATATATAAAATAAGAATAAAAGAATCGTCGTAAGAAATACATTTTACTTTTGTCAACAGTTGAAAATATCCATTTTCCAGAGACAATTATCTTTGCCATCGTATTAAAAGTCTATCGATTCGTACGGAATTCGCAGAACAATCTTTCGAACGAAACTTTCGTTTCATCGTTCGATCCTTCCTCCTAACTTTTTAATCGCGTCAGCGGAAGAACGCGGCAAGTTTCATTTTCGAACGCGTATAACTAGCCCGATTGAAGAATACCGGTATCGAGAGAGGAAAGTTCTCGAATCGGGGAGAAGGAAATTGCAGCTCGTTTGTAACCCGCTTACGGTAACGAGTTAATCTCCAGGTTCCGGGGAAAACAGAATCGAGACCGATTTACCGGAATTATAATTCACCGCGTTATCGGGAAAGCGATAGAAAAAGAAGGAAGAAAAGGATCGTCGAACTTGCATTCGTTTCAACTAGCACGCGTACGCACCGTTTGTTTGGAGCAACGTTTTAACAGTTTATCCTGTTTACCCTCTCCCTCCACGTGTGTTTGAACTTACGCCACGAGTGGAAAAGCAAACCAATTAGTCGTAACGCGCCACGTTTCCCTCCTTCGTGGTAAGCGTCATAATTTCGTTCCAGTCGATGATACGGGGCTCGGTTGTTGGTTGGTTGTGCAGCGGTGAACAATAAATAAGAAATATACGGATTTGAATGAATATATTTTGGTTATACGCGAGTGCACGCGTCGGGCTACAGAAACTGAACAACTGAAGATAAACAAAAGGATACCAACTACAGAATAGTAACACTGCTAGCAATAATAAAATTATAGATAAAATTTCAGTGAATTTTATACCCTATAACATCGGTGTTTCAATCGAAGTAACGCCAGGTTGGAGGATGGACAAAAGGGGTATCGATTTATCTAAAGGATTATCACGGGGCGATTCGGTGTAATTCGGCGACGATTTGGCGAAAAGTAGGACGAAACGCGACCGTGATACACGCGATTCGATAATAAAGCGGGTGGAGTGGATTGACGTGAACGGGAAATTGCACGTGGAATTGTTAATTACCGTGCGAACGTAACCTAATGATGCGGTTCGGATCGGAAGATATTGGATCTGTGCCGTGTGCTTCCTAAATCGATCGAATTCTCGTTGTAATTCCACCTACATGGCCTCCTAAAATTGCGATACCGTGTTTTGCAAAATCTATTTCAAATCGTGAGCAATCCGTGGATTTCGAGAAATGTACCAAGGATAAAAGAAATTCGATGGAATCGAATCGAGAAATCGGTTCCCCGATGGTATCAATTTCAATAAGAGAAACAATGACGAAACAGAGAGATCTAAAACGTGTATACTCATATTGATGGCAATTGAATATGAAAAAATTTCGTATATCTTTTCTTGTTTGTAATGCAATTTCCATACGAATTGTTAAATTTATCATAGAACAAAATCTTTAATCTTTCTTGTAATCTATGAGATAATAGGCCTATTTTTTAATTTATCTATACGCAAAGTATCATCCTCTATCAACCCTGGGTTTTGACGTGAATTTATACCGATATCTTTCACACAATTCCACGATTCCATTCTATTTTCATACCGATATTTAGCACCGTGGGATCAGCGATTTCGGGGATTATCGAACGCCACATGGCTTCCCTGGCTCAACCTCGTCGTCACAGCCCCTCAAGATTCAAGATAGATATAGAGTGGAGTAGTCGAAATACGAAAGAGAATCGAGAAATCATTATATTCTCGACGAGTTCTCGTCTACGTGATACGACGATAAATCCATTATGATGATGTTGAAGTTGGAGTACGTGTTAAACGCGATTCGGAAGATTAACTATTGCCCTGTGGCCCTCGACACGTTCATCTCGAAAGATTAATATCCATAAGGAGGGGAGGGGGACACACAAGGTGTGAATAAAGTCGAGCAACTAAGCGGCGAGATTTTGAAACGAGGCGAGTTGTAATTTCGACGATTCAAACTGCCGCGACGTTACGCGTTTCCATGATTACATTCGAGAGTTGAATTTCGATGCTGCTTTCCCTCCCCTTCCATCGAAGATTGTCACCGGTCTCTCGATAGAGGAAAGTTAAATTAACGAGAGAGAACTCATTCGTGTGTTCCCCCTTGTGTTTCAGCACCTCTCTCATCCGTATAAACATACATATATAACTTGTACTATTTACTTTCGACATCGACCAATCCTTCTCTAATCGACCATCATTCTCTATTATTTGTACGATATCTCGAAGTTATCCATCCTTTAAAATTTACGTACCTTCATTTTTTCTCCGATCGAAACAATTATTTCTTTCCTTCGTTTCGTCGCGTGGACGAAAAATTGTGTTACATCGTGTTAAATACATTTAAAAAGATATAAATTGTTATAAATACATAGATCGTTCTCGACTCGAGTTAATCCGCACGAAAATCACGAGGGGGAAGCGATCGTGTTTTAATAAGATAGGGAGAAACGTTGGATATTCTGGGAAGTTTTCGCGGTTATAGCGGCGGAATTGGCTCGATCAGAATGCAATGGGGCGAAAGGCTATCGCACGCAGCGCTGGCCAACTTCTAACTTCATCGTCTTCATCGTGGCCTTATCCGTGTATCAAAGGGATTTATTCCAACCGTATCTTGACCTTCGCTTCTTCCTATCTTCCGTGGAGAGTATATATACGCGGGTTGATCCGCGTTTAGATTCATGAAATGGCGGTGGAATCTGGTGGACAGACGATCCTCTCTATATTTTGATCCTGATCGAAAGAAGAGCAAGTTATCGAGGCCAACCGAGGGGAATTGTTTTCGATAATAAACCTCTCGGGGACGCGTCTTTGCCCGCTGTTATTGTCCCTGCGAAGTTCTGCGACCGACTGTTTGAGAAATAATAGCAATACCGTTACCGAGATTGGATCTCGCCTCGATTTACGAGTCGTGAGGTTAAACGAGGATTTTAGGATCGAGGTGAGAGAAGCTTTCGTGGCTCCAGTTCTAATCCCTTCGAGATCCTTCCGGCCCCTTCGCTTTTTGGAAAGTTTAAACGATTTCCAACTTATTGCGTAGCACAGAAATTATTGGATAGAGATAATTAGTCAAGGAATAATGGAATAATGTGAACGTAATGTATCCTGAAATTTTATGTATATATATATATCAACGAGGATGATAATGTAAAATTATAAATAATTGATTATATTTATTCGTTTTCTACATTTTTCTGTTTCTATTTTTACTCTCCAATAAGGAATGTATTCGCGAGAGTTGTCAAAACAGACGTCAAAGTTGATAAAAATGTCGAATTGATCGAAGTTTATTAGTTAAGTTATAAAGTTATAATTACAAGTAATTGTAAATTGATAGATATCTCTGTCTCGTTTTTGCTAGCTTTAAAATGAATACATCGATCGATAATTTTGTCCCTGTCTCTAGAATTGAATGTGTCAATTGAAAAAGAGTGTTCCACGAATATATGAACACATTCTAAAATAATTTAGGCTCGGTCAAACATTCGCCAGACTGGACAAATAGCCGATTTTAAAGCTATCGAATCGCATTCGGTGTGTGCATCCGTTCGTTGAAATGATGGAACACCACAAATTAAACACTTTCGATCAGTCATGAATCAGCCGTGGATAAAATGATTTTCCACGAACCTATTCCACCTATCGGTCTCACAACACACGTTCCACAAATACTATCATCAGTTTAATATTTATATGAACGATCCTACTGTGTCAAATCGTTCAGATATCCGCGATTCACCAGCCCGTAGATAATATTATTGTGTAAACGTTTGTTCGTCGAAACGAGAGATTGCCCAAAAAAAAAAAAAAAAGAAAAAAATGTACGGAAATTTTATCGAAAAATTCGTTCCTAATAAACATATCAATTAAGTTAAAAGCGTTATCTTCCACGAGATAGATAATGCGCTTCTCAACGAGCACCGGTAAAGAAAGATTGATCGTCCTTGAAGGAAGATATATATATATATATATATATATATATATA